AATAAATCCACATAGAGTTCATTATCCATAATGACTCCAAGTGATTCGAGTCTTTCCACAAGAGCTATCATCTTCAGTCCATGATCATGAACTGAAGAGCCCTCGGTCATACGACACCTGAAAAGCTCTTTAGATATCTGATATCTAATTTGTCGCGTCCGATCACCATACAACTCTTGCAGGTGAGTTAGGATTTCAGAAGCATTATTCAGTAATTCGTTCTGTCTCTGTAGCTCATTAGACATTGATGCTAGCATGTAGCACCGAGCTTGGAGATTGTCATCAACATGACGCAAGTAGGCTCCATACTCTTCAGCAGTCTGATCCTCCGGTGGAGGAGGAGGAGCTGTTTCCAAAACATACTCTCGCTTCTCAGACTGAAGAACAATCTTTAGGTTCCTCAACCAATCATTGAAGTTGGGACCAGTTAATTTATTATGATCAAGGATACTCGCGATTGGATTCTTAGCCATTTTAGTAGTTTGATCTACAAAAATAACAAACGAAGCAGAAAATAATTAGACTATGGAATTTATATTCATTTAATATTAGGTCTTTAACATTAAATGTCTCCCACTAATTTAATTAGAACCTCATTATAATTATGAAAATCATTATTTTCATAGTGGGCTTGAAGTCCAATAAAATATTTCATGTCCCAATTTTATGATGCCACCATGAAACAATTTTATCGGTAGTCAACTTTTTGACAATTGTATCTCTATACAACCTTCATAGTGGGCAATTGTTTATAGTTTGTACAGTAAAAAAATCAATCAAAACTCAAATTTAACTCAACTTTAATCCAACCACACTATCTCTCATATTATCAATATAATTAATAATATCAACTAATCATTCTTACACATCACATTAATTTTAATTCACTATTCATCCACTCACACAATTTTAACTACCAATCACTTCCAATCATTTTTCTCATACTTTACATCAAATCAATTTTAATTATTTTATTTAAATATTATTTTAATATATCCACTAACAACTAACCATACTATATTTTTTTAAAATTAAATATAATTAAGAAACAAACCAAATAAAAATTAATTGAGTACCTAACTAATTTGAACAAAGCGAGACAAAACACTGTACAATCTCGGGTGTTGAGATATCTGGTGGGCCTTACTCCAGGGAAACAAATTATAAGACTAAACCCAAATTAGAGGCATAATCTAGCATGGTAGAGGGAAGCAAACATGCACTTATGCTACAGCAGATATTTTTAGTAGGTGAGGACGCTGACCTCTTACCATACATGGAAATATTGTTGGTGCGATCTGCTGAACAAATATGCATGACACCAGTCAAGGCAGAGCATGTTTTCTTGTGATCCAACACGTATGTATTATTAACTATTTAATTAATAGCTAGTCACCCACTTTCGAAATATTTAACGCAATTAACATGACTAATGACTTATTACTAGCCAAATATGTGTTATATAACTTGGGCGCGAGCTGTCCAATCGCGATTGGCTGATTTGAGGACAAAAAGTGTAATGATAGCTACTTCAATGGAAAGAAAAAATAGCTTTACTTAGAGCACCCACAATGCTTTGGGTCTCTTTTTGTATATGTGGCATATAATTGGACTTGAGTCTTAAATGATGTGGACAAACCCAAGTAAAAAACTTCAATAGCTTTGCAATGCAAAAATAAAAATACTTGGTCTAGCATATATGTCAACCAATAAAAATGATCTAATATGTTTTTTTTATTAAAAGAAAAATTAAAGTAGGAATAAATGATTAGTGTTTGGGTTTGTACTTGGGTCCAAAATAGACCCAAGTGTGGACTTAGTCTCTTTTTTTTATTGCCACATAAGCTAGACCATGTCCACTTTTAATTGCATTGGGAAGCATTTTTTTATAGAGTAGGTCTATTTCTTACATGACATGTGATTTTTTGTCAAGAGACCCAAAGCATTGTGGATGCTCTTAGCTGTGATTGTTTATGAATTCAACTAATTTTTATTTGGTTTGATTTTTAATTATAGTTAATTTTGAAAAAAAAAATAGTATGATTAGTTGTTAGTAAATATATTAAAATAATATTTAAATAAAATAATTAAAGTTGATTTGATATAAAGTAAGAGAACAATAATTGAGAGTGATAGTTAGTTAAAATTATGTGACTGGATTAATAAATTGAAGCGATGTGTAAGAATGATTAGTTGATATTATTTAATTATATTGATAATATAAGAGATAGTGGGGTTGAATTAAAATTAAGTTAAATTTGAATTTTAATTGATTTTTTTACCGTAGAAACTATAAACAATAACCCCTTACTGCTCCAAACTTTTGAAAAAATAGCGAGCTATCTAAAGTCGGTTGATTTGAAATATTGTTTGCTTTTGGTAGACAGTAAAGAGATATTTAAAAGCAGAAGTCTGAAGGTACCGTGGCCTAGACATGGCTAAAGGGCCTCCCGGCCCTGACCCGACCCAGTCAAACCCGTTGACCATGGGTCCGGGATCGGCCCGGATTTCATACGGGTCGTGTAAGGGTCATCCATTTCATGAATCCTTCCGGGACGGGCCGGGTCAATGACCCTCTTTTTCTATTTTTTTATTTTTTATTATTTTTTAAAAAAGTAACGGACCCAGCCCGGACACGAACCCGACACGAGTATCGGTCTGTGCCGGTTCAGGGTCAGTATTTTCGAGCCCGGCCTGTGACCCGACCCGTGTTTGTGCCATGCCTATTGTGGCCAAGCAGAAGTCTGAATGTAACCTGACATTGACCGCTATTTTAGTTGTTAGAATTGCCCAAAATCTAATAGCTACAAAGGCTAGGAATCCGAAGTTAAAAGAACTTGTCGATAAATGTGGTCTGTAGACAACTTTTTTTTTTTTTTTTGTTTGGAAAAATTTAACAATAATCTGTTAAAACTTTAAATTCAGCAAATCTACCTATAAGAAATCAAATTCATCGGTGCAAATTCACCTTGGGTTATCTTACATTGATGCACGTATGTCACCAAAGTGTCCCAAATTATCAGAACTCAGAGATCACGTATGTCACCAAAGTGTCCCAAATTATCAGAACTCAGAGATCAGAATAAAATAAATAAATAAATAATTATCTTAAACAAAATTTACAATTTTTTTTTTTTTGAAAAGTAGACACATACGCCTAATCGAATTTGCAATAAAAAAAACCTTTTATTTCATCTGCATTTATTAATTTATTAATAAATGGTTGCACGTCGACTAGTGCTGCTCATTCAGTCGCAACTGAACCGAACCGACCGAATTTTTTGTTAACCGAAAATTTGGTTTTTACATTATAAGAACCGAAAATCAAATCGAAATTTATAATTCGTTTCGGTTTTTAACCAAAAATACAGTGGTCGTTCCGATTCAGTTAACGATTAATCGTAATAAATAATTAATTTTTTTAATAAATTCTGAATTGTTAACCAAATCAAAAAGTTCATTTTTTATCCGAACTAAAAAAAACTAATTTTTTATCACCATGTTTAATCTGCTCAACAAATGTCAAATTTTCCTCTAAGGAAGATCTTGGACCCGAACCACGACGAAGATAATCTTGAGTGCAAATTAATACTTGAGCCATTTTAGGGATCATTGAAGCTCGAAAATCATCAATCATTTTATGTGTGTGTATAAATCGGTTTTCAAATCGATTTGAACAATATTATCCAAATCAAACCGAAAACAAAAATTTTAAAAAAATTTAAACCAAAAAATGAACCAAATATTTGGTTTCGATTTCGGTTCATACTGAATTTTCGGTTTGGTTGATTCGGCTCGGTTAACCGAATTTTGCACATCCCTAATATTGACTGTGAAGGAGTTGAATGGCTTCACGTCGACTGGCCCAGAAACTTGCCGGAATTGAAAATCAACTAAGTGGACCTGCCCGTAATAACTTCTACCTTCACCTCGAGCACCCTGTGCCTTAAGTATATATGACCCGAATTCGAATCCTAGTTCCCAAATTTGGCGTAGAGGGCCCTAGTAACCGAATCCCAGCAGCATGGAATAAAGCTCGTTGGATGAGGTAAAATGCATGGCGGTCTTAAAATTCTGGTTCTCGACGTATGGAGGGGAAATCAAAGCTCCGCCATAAGAGGTTGTCACTGGCAACAATCAGATTCGAGGCGTTTGAGAGCCAAACGTAGGCCTCGAAGGTGTGGGTTGACCAGAATACCCCCGAGCGGTGATCGGACAGGACTAGGTTGTCGTTGAACATTACTTAGGCAGACGGTCCCACCTCGCTGACCACCCCGTTGAATATTTATTAATTTTTTAATTAGTTAATTAAATAAAAAAGATTTATTTTATTATCTTTTTTACAAAATTATCAGGTGTATGTGTCTACTTTGTCTATATATATCGTAAATTTTGTTTAAGGTGATTATTTATTTATTTTATTCTAGTATCTGAGTTCTACTGATTTGGGACACTTTGGTGATACACGCGCATCCACGTAGGATAAACTAGAGTGAGTTAGCAGCAACTGGTAAGTTTCACTGTCTTATAAGTAAATAGATACAAATTCTGTATTTTAACAAGTTAATGTCTTGTTTTACAAAACAAAACAGAAGTTATCAACATTTGTCACACGCGACAAGTTACGGGGCACGTAATACAATTTTGCCTCTTTATGAATATAACAAAGGAAACAAAATATATATTGAGTATACTACATATAAATTTGGGCCTCGAGCTCTTATTGGTCCGGATTGTTAAGTTAATGTGATAATAAACAAACTCGCATTTTAAAAGTCGAATCATACTGAAAGTATTAACATACATAATAGATCATATTTTTCAAGTAATATCAACCACATGGAATAATATGACACCCCGGACGAGATGGCGCCCCTACGCTCCTTTTACTTGGAATAATATCAACCACATGTGACTTATTGTAGCCTACGATTGAGGCCCCATCTCACATTTTATTTTAATATTATTTTATTTGCATAAAAATATTTTAAAAACAGTCCATTCACTTTCCTTTAGAAAACGAAATAAAACAAAAATAAAAAATAAAATTACACGGGCTTTCACCAATCACAACCAGCCCTTTATATATAATAAAACTCCACATTTATATCAATACAGTGATCGAATAAAAACCTTATTTTTCCCGTGACTCTCAACAAATATTAACCTTAAATCGGAAATTCATGGCGATTGTGGAGGAAGCATACGTGTACGAGGAGGAGACGCATCTCACCGTGCTCAAGACTTCACTCTTCTTCGCCGGCGACGGCTTCACCGCCTACGACTCAAAAGGCGAACTCGTTTTCCGGGTTGACTCGTACGGCCCCGACGCCGGCGACTCGAGCGAACTCGTTCTCATGGACGCCTCCGGCAGGTGCATCCTTACCGTCCGCCGCAAGGTAGCTATCGATTAGTTGGGGATTCAGAAATATTGGGCTTTGATTTAAGTTTTTCTCACGAACAAAATAGCATTTTTTGTGGTATTTACAATTTACATAGACACTCTATTCGCAGGATTTAAAGCATCAAATGAGTCAACTCAGATAGTGAGTGATATATATTTTTAATCACATTTGACACACTTCATACTATACACTCTATCTTCGGTGCTTTGTTAGTCGATAAACTTTAGCTACACCATAAAAGTAAATTTTCAGCTTATTAGAAAATCAATACAAGTGCAAATTATTGCCTGAAAATTTGCATTGTAAGTGTGTGTTCAAATATATGACTGTACTTTTAAGGTCTTTCTAAATTCAAGACATTTTGCAATCTTTTATTCTATTAAACTCTTATTAATTTAATTTTAGAAGTGAGTTTTGGTGATGTGTTATTTTGTGTTAAGGTAAAATTAATTAAATTCCTGATAACTTTTAAAGTGTATTTTAAAATTTCAATTTATTTTATTTCTATCCGTTGGACTCGAAATTAGAAATCGTTTAAGAAATTAACTAAAAACGATATATGCTTTTCAACCCACCGAGTCAACTCACCGATTTTATCCACCGACTCAGAGGCCGAGCCTCCACCAGCGGTGGGAAGGCTTCGTCGGCGAGGGGGCGGAGGGGAAGAAGCCTCTCTTCAGCGTCCGGCGGTCGTCGATCATCGGGCGGTCGAGCATGACTGTGGAAGTGTACAGCCCTGGCGAGGAGTACCAGATCGAGGGCTCCTTCGCCTGCCGGAATTGCAGCATCCTCAACGCCGACAAGGAGGCCGTGGCCGAGATCCGCCGCAAAGTCGACGCCACCACCAACGTTGTGCTCGGGAAGGACGTCTTCGTGCTCAGCCTGAGGCCGGGCTTCGACGGCGCCTTCGCCATGGGGCTTGTCCTCGTGCTCGATCAGATCCACGGCGGCGATGATGACGAGGTCGGCGGCTGTGGGAATGGAGCGAGGGTTGGTGTGGATCCAACTCCCATTGCAACACACGAGGGTACGGATTTTGCTGCTTAAATTTTTTTTTCCCTTTTCTTTTCTTTTTCCCGATTTTTCGAGGGGGAAACGAAATTGCACTTTGGCCCCAAGTTAATTTGCCTATGTACAATTTAGCCCTCCGTTGATATGATTTTAGCAGTTTTAATACCTTTTTATGGTGAGGAAAATATATGTATGTATGGTACAAAAAATTGCATCTATTTTCAGATCTGACGACATATTGCATTAGTATGAAAGTTTGTAAAAGAACAATTAGGCAGTCAACAGAAACAAAATCCGCTCCTTTCTTTCTCCTCCCAAAAAAATCCCCAATCTTCCCATATTTTAGATGTTCAATGTTTTTCAGTTTTTATTAACGAAAGCAGTTTAGTCCTTTGCGTTTTAAATGATTGTTGCTTTTGTCACCGCTGTATATAACAGTCACCTTCTTCTTCATTTTGTAACATAACACTTGAGTTATTTTCTGATTAATGAAAATGAGAGTTTTCTCTCGGTTGAATTGCTTATTTTCCTCTCAAATGGCTCTCTGATCGCCAACATTCTTCCATGTTCAGTTAGTGGGAACAACGATGATTCTGGCTTGATTGATATGCGGTGTTTAGTGATATTGAAAGAAACTATGAATCATGAGATCTGTTCTCCAAACTAAAAGATAATAAAATGTAGGAAAGAAAATCAATTAATAAATAATGAAAAAAAAAAGAGAGTATATAAAATGGAATGATGAGAAGGACTAAACAAAGAAAAAGAAGAATTTTTCTGTGTTTTGGAATTTGATTAGTAGAATGAGAATTGGATAAAGAGACATCAGTAAAACACAAATCTATCTCCTAAGTCATAAATTATCAAAACAATCAAATGTTGCAGTTATTAGAAATTAAGAACACTTCCTTTTATCCTAATTATCATGAGCAACAGATACACGAATAATTAACAGTAAGACACCCAATACATATTAGTTTAGTACTATCCCTTTGGCAAAATACAAATAAGCCTTTACCTATGTCGTCCCATTTTTCAAAATTTGGTTCTATGAAAACTGCAAAAATGTCATGTATCAAATGTCAGCTTCACTTGCCGGTCACATTGGCAAATTTCGTGGAATTCAATTAATTTGACAAAAGCGATGAAAATTTCATATTAACATATGATGTGTGGTAACTCGAAATGTTTGGCTAATTAATGAATTCAAAAAAATAAAATAAAAAATACGCCTCTATTTTCCGCAAAATAAACGATAATTTTATTGATAATCATCTAGTAATCAATACTATACGAAATAAGAAATGTGCTACACCCTCGAGATCATCAACAGCTGAGAACGTCCGTATAAAAGAACAGAATACAAAAGGAACAAAAAACAAAAAATAAAAAGGCAAGAAATAATTGTACAAACTCCTCTCCGGGCTTATTAGACAGCGAGAACAACTCCGGCAGACAGCACAACAAACAAGAAACTGCCGGCCAAAGAAGCAGCGCCGGAACCAGGCTGACCCTGGCTGCCCGGAGGACTTCCACCGCCCGGGGAGGTTGGAGAGGTGGCCCCCGGAGGATTGGCACCGCCGGAGGTGGCCGTGGGAGGGACGGCACCGCCGGAGGTGGTCGGAGGGGCGGCCGTCGGGGGGATGGCGCCGCCGCCGCCGGTGGAGGGGCTGACGGTGATGCTGAGCCTCTGACCTTGCTGGCAGTGGGAGCCGAAGGTGCAGATGTAATAGTGGTTGCCGGTGGTGTTGAGGGTGACGTTAGCGGGGCCGTTCATGATTGGGCTGCCTATGGCGGCGTTGCCGGTGCAGGCGGTGTATGAGGCTTGGGGCACTTGGACGACGTCGTGTCGGCCGGTCACGAAGTTGAAGACTGGACAAATAAGTAAATTAAATAAATACACACTATTACTTATACCTTGTATTTTATTCAATGGCCAACGAAAAATCGAGATTATTTATCTTTTATTAATTTATTTTCCAAAATTCAAAATTGCAATAATTTAAATCTTATGAGATCGACTAGCACTGTACCGGACTTTCGATAACAAATGCTCATTCGAATAAAGTTTGTTCGCGTATTAATCGAGTCGAGTTCGAACAAAAATTTATGCCCATTCGTCCATATAATGAATACGTGTGTATTCACGAATGTTTAATAATGTTCGCGAAGATTAGTATAATACATAAGTTATTTGATTAATACAAACGGGCTCGTACACGAATATCTGTTTGAACAATAAACGAACAAACACGAACATTGTTCAAACATAATCAAACACAAGCTTAATTCTATTACAACACTACTCATACTTGTCTCCGAACAAATGCAAATTAATATAAGAAATACGTACCGAGGGTATCTCCAACCAGGAAGCTTTGGCCGGAAGCCCAATCACTATAGAAGGTAGCGTTGGGGATTTGGGTGGTCCAACCCACGGAGCCTCCAACTATGTGTACAGTTTGCCCAACTGCACAGCTCACCATTACAGCTAAAACAGTACCAAATAGAGCAGCCATTAGACTACCTCTTTTCATTGCAATATGTGTTGTTACACCGCCTTTTTTTTTTTTTTTTTTCGCGAAAAAACGAGTAGTTCTGTTTTTGTATTGATGATGATGTGTGAATATGTGGTAAGAGGCTGAGAAGATAGATTACGATATCGATCAAGATTTTATAGATGGAAATGTGGCCAAGGACTTTTTGACTTGGTCTCTCAACAATGCGTCACTTTTGGTGGAAATTTCTGCTTTGTTTTATTTTATTTATTACTTTTATATCTATTTACTGTTTTGTGGGAAGTATTTGAAGTTTCCAGTTTGACTTGGGAAATTGCATATAAAAGCTTGAGCAACGACTTGGTTTGGTTAGAAAGTTAGGAAAAGGCTACTTTCATACATAACTGATGAACAATATTTTAATTCAAATAAATGATATCGGTGTTTAGTATAATAATTAAACCGCGTAATAATTTGTCAGAATTTATACGTATTTTTGTGTTTTTTTTTTCTGCAGTAGATCTAGTTAGATCAGGCTCTATAAATAATTAATGCATGTTAGTTTCTACAGTAAAAAAAAATTATAATAAATAAAGAATGAAGAATGAAATTTAGCCCAGTCAATTGATGGAGCAGTTGGTGCACAAAATCAACGATGGTGTGCTGCCGTGTAATTAATCCATGAAGGGCATATACAATTAATCAATGCTCTAGCCATTGAAACAACTAACAAGTATTTAGTCAACGATATTGGTTTTGATTATCTAATTTGTTCTGTTTTTCTTGATAATAATCTTCTTCCCTTCACATTAACCTAAAGATTTTTTCTAGAATGAACTGATATATTTAGTTAAAATATATTATTTCCTTATACTCAATAATATTTAGGAGTACTTTTATAGTGATATATAGTTAGACTATTGTTTGAAAATGGGATTTGGAGTTGGTCTGATTAAAAGAGTTTAATTAATTTTCCCACTTTTTCACAATTACAAAAATAAAAGAAAATAAAAATACTTGAAATGAAGAAGAGAGAGGTTGGAATTTTCCTTTACATGGACAACCAAGAAAAACCACAAAATAATACTAGAGAAAGAAAAAAAAAAAAATAACTTGGCTTTAAAATTATAATAAGAGTCATTAAATGATATCTAGTGTTCATAATTTAATAAAAGTTCGTCATAATTGTTACGTTCTGCAAATTTTCTTAGTTTGAATCCACTGACAATAATAACATATATGTAAACACTTGAAACAAAAACAAATGTACTTTTGCAAGATTTCCATGCTTTCATAGTTGAACATATTTCAGACAGCTCATCAATTTGTTTCACTCCAGAGCAATTTGTCCTCATTTTAAACATCACCAATAAAATCTCCAAGAAATTTTCAACTAGTTAGATGCTAATTAAAATCATCAGCACAATATAAACCTTAATCACAAGAAGGCTCAGCATATGTGGTACTGAGTGAAAGCCTAGGGCGGTAGTCACGGTTTCAGATCTCTTNTATTAATAAATAATTGAACTTAAAATACCTTTCATATTTTATGAAGCAAATTACAGGTTGCGAGTGAACCCGGTTCAAGTATTGTTGGTATATACAGAGAAACTATTAGTTTATGTGTCTTGAAGTATCACTGTGTGGATTGCATAATAGTCTTTTGACCTCCTTCACTACGCAATTCATATGTGGAGTGATTTACTTAGATATGGTCTAGTGCTTACACTATTTATGGGGTAGATATAGGTTTGTGTTGGGCTGTTATCGATATATATAGAAATGGTACCCTGAGTCAATATTAGGATTCATTCCTCGGATATAGTTTTGAGAAAACACTCGTTTTCTATATACTGAGTTGGTGAAGTCATTAAACAATGCATATGGTTATATTTGAAATGGTGCTCAAATGTAATTAGTTAAAGTCAACCACCAAGATGAGAACATGATTAAGTTGTTTGAGTAGACAAACGTTAAAGTTTTAAGTTTAATTCATGGTTTGTGAATGAAGGAACTATATCATATAGAAAAAAATCTATAATTTTTAAAAAGAATTACGATGAAACGGAAGTTCAAATGGTTCGGATCAAAATTGACCATTGGATCTCCAATAGTCACAAGATTCAGTGGTCAGTTTAAAAATACGATCGTTGAAGACCCTAGTATGCAGGTTCCGAGCCTGACCCGGCTCGTCCTTGCATGATTTTTTTTTTTTTTTTAAAAAAAAAATCAAAATTTTAAAAATAACAAAGAAAGTGTCGAACCGTCTATTCTGGTTATGGTTCCGGATCGAAATCAACTTGGCGGTTCATTTTTTTTAAAAACAATGTGAACAGAACTGGCCCGAATCAAAGGGCAGCCAGCTCACAAAATCGTGTTCAACGGTCCAGGTCGATTCCAATACTGTTAGCCAGAGGTCGATTAGGGCCGATTCGAAATAGTGGGTACTTCTACCTTAGCATCATTACCATCGTGGTTGCTGACTTTAGTCAATTTGTTGATGGTAGGATTTGGATCGAAGCCTTTTTAATTTGTAGTAGTTACCGTACTTGACCCAAAAATGAAACTCAATTGTAAACTTATGCCAATGGGAACTACTCCCTCCATTTTGAAATATAAGGCGTATAAAGATTTCTCAATTTTTTTGAAATATAAGGCGCGCTCAAAAATCAAGACAATTTTTTGCATTTTTTTTCCAAATATACCCTCATTGTGTTGAAATTAAGGAAGTGTGGAGTGGTTGTGATTAGAGTAAATAAGGTTAATTTAGTCAATTTATTCATTAATTAATGTCTCCTTAATATTTGTGCAATAACCTTAAATGCCTTATATTTCAAAATGGAGAGAGTAACATGTAGTATCATATTAGTACTTTGAATTGTATATGTTAATGCTTTTCTATACTGACAAACGCCCATTCTTCACATGCCCAAGTCCCTAACTCTCAAGTCCCAACACACAAAAGTATAAAATAAAACAACAATTGCTCCATAAATTTCACGAGCGCCCATAACTACTTACACCCAAATTAAGCCCACCGAACAGTTAGCTCCAAGCCATTTATTTTTTCTCAACCACTTCCCGTCAACTTAAAGTTGCCCCTCCAATCCTTTACAACATTCACCTCCCCACATTTACTCCTTTCCCTCACTCCCTACCAAAATAAAATCCACTCCATAGTCCATTCTCCATGTCCACTCCACACACACATAACAAGTGAACACATTTTACTATCATACTTAAAAAAAAATAAAAAAAATGGCTATATCTTTCAAATCCCACACCTTAGCCTGCATTTGCATTGCACCACTACTAATCCTTTTCTGTTTCTCCACACCAAAACCAGCCAATGCCAATACAACACAATTCAAAAAAATCTACGCGTTTGGCGACTCGTACACCGACACAGGCAACACGCGGTCCAACACGGGCCCGAACGGGTTCATGTTCGTCTCAAACCCCCCTTACGGGTCCACCTACTTCCGCCACCCCACCAACCGCTACTCGGACGGCCGCCTCGTCATCGACTTCGTGGCCCACGCCCTCTCCCTCCCCTTCCTCCCGCCCTACCTCGACCGGGCCACGCGTGCCGGCCCATCGGGCCTCAACTTCGCCGTGGCGGGGTCCACGGCCATACCCCACTCCTTCTTCGTGAAGAACAACTTGACGCTCAACATCACGCCCCAGTCGCTCGGGACACAGCTGGCGTGGTTCGAGAAGTTTCTAGAAGGAAAGGGGTGCAGGGACTCGTACAGCACGCCGACGGCATGCGAGGGCGTGCTTGGGGAGGCGTTGATTTGGGTCGGCGAAATTGGGGCCAACGACTATGCTTACAGCTTCGGGTCAACCGTGTCCTCCGAGACCGTGCAGCGGCTGGCCATCAGCAGTGTCGATGGCTTTCTGCAGGTAACATAAATAAATATAGATATATATAATTGAGAAAAATGCTACAGTCCTGTGTCACGGAAACATTCTTTTATATAAGACTCCAATAAAAAACTGTCATTTGACTGCATATAAAGGTCCATATCTAATGGTTTTTATTGAATTGAGGGAACCATTCCCAACGGGACTGTAGTCTTTCCTCTTTCCCGTTAATTGAACTCAAGTTCATGGATTTATATATATGATTCTATTTGTCTTGAAAAATCATTACTAGAAAACCACACAAAATGCTCTGTTTTCCCCTGAACTCAGGCAATTCTAAAGAAAGGAGCAAAACATGTGGTGGTCCAGGGCTTGCCCCCGACTGGATGCCTCACCCTCTCAATGTACCTAGCACCGCCCGAGGACCGGGATTCCACGGGCTGCGTGGGGTCCGCAAACCGGCAAAGCCAGGCTCACAACACGGCCTTGAAATCGAGACTCGACATTCTTAGAAAACAGTTCCCGAAATCCGTTATAGCGTACGCCGATTATTACAGTGCGTATGCGAACATCGTGAAAAATCCTAGGAAGTACGGATTGACGGAGATTTACAAGGCGTGTTGCGGGTACGGTGGTGGGGCCTACAACTTTGACTATTTCCATGCGTGCGGGTCTCCTTCATCCGGTTCGTGTGCGGACCCTTCCAAGTTTGTCAACTGGGATGGGGTTCACTTGACCGAGGCCATGTATAGGGCCGTGGCTGATGCTTTCGTGAATGGGTCCTATTGCCAGCCCCAATTTAGGGCCCTGTTGAGATGAGGCCCAATATCGTTTGCTGCTCGATCGATCAAGAGATTAATTATGTAAAAGAAAGTCATGATGCACTTTCTTGTTTTTGGTTCAGTTTTCATGGGGCTTGATGAGGATTTTCTATAGGTCCCCATGAATTGGCATACAAGCTAGCAATGCAATTTTTTTTTTTTTTCTTTTTTTCTGTGGTTTTGAAATAAAAATCAACATTTTCTATTTCGAATCTTAATCTTGTTTATGTTAAGAAAAATTTCCCCTTAGACTGTCTATAGCCTATAAAGAGTGTGACAATAACACATGCATCATCCATTAATTAACAGAAACTTGTATAAAATTACTCACTCCATATTATTGTATTGATGATCCAAGAAAAAGGAACAAGTGACGTACAATACAAATCAAGTACAAAATAATTCAGGCGGCAGCGTATGAAAAACTCAAAACAAAAGCTTATTTAATGCAAGAACATAGGGAAAATAATCGCTTTAATTAAACCTAGATTTTATTCTCAGAAAACCAACGCTAATCCGGCGGTCAATAAACTAAGCGAGAAACCGGCGGCCAAAGCAATGGAGCCAGAATTGTTCTGCGCGGATGGGGCCAGCACCGCCGCGGGTCCGCCGGCGTTGGGCCGAGTTGGGGCACAGGCTTTTGGATGTGTGTAGGTGGGAGAAGGAGTGGTCGGCCGGGTTGCAGTTGCCGGAGGATTGGCGGAGGAGGAGATGACGGTGATGGAGAGGCGCTGCCCCTGCTGGCAGTGGCTGCCGAAGGAGCAGATGTAGTAGCGGTCGCCGGCGGAATCGAGGGTGACGTTAGCGGGGCCGTTCATGATTGGGTCGCCTATGGCGGCGTTGCTGGTGCAGGCGGTATATGAGGATTGGGGCACTTGAACGACGTCGTGTCGACCGGTCACAAAGTTGAAGACTGTATAATTATAAGGACAAATCTATAGTTAGTTATTTAATTAATGATTCGTGTATAATACACATATAATTTATTTGATGCATGTGAGGTTGTTTAACTCTTGCCACCCGATCATCATACATTTTTAACAAAAATATATATACACGTGCTATCAAATGTTATCTTAAAAATATACCAAAAAAATGTTATTTTAAAAACGTATAATTATGTTATCGAATGTCGTACATTTATTTAGGAGCGAAGTCTTAGTAGGACCAGTGGGCCTGGGCTTACACTCAAAAAAAACAAAAAATAAAAATAAAAAAAAAATCGTAATACACAAACTAAAAAAAATACTAATTACGCTCATGTGAGCCCGATAAAAACGGTCCAACTCACATACTCAACCCCTAATATTACTACTACCTCATGTGAGTCCAATAAATAACCTTCATATAATAAACTAATAAAGTATTTAACAAAATAATTAAACAAGAGAAAAGAGTACAGAGGTCACACAGACGAATGCAGAGGGAAAGAAAAGAGGGGGAAAGAAAGGAAATATTAGTGGTAAATATATTAGTGGTAAAACTATTCGAGAATACAACTTACAAAATAACGAAATTCTTTTATGTTTATATTAGTGGTAAATATATTATTTTTATGTAGAAATTGCAAATACAAATGCTTTTGAGTGTTTATAACTCTTAAAGTGTGATATGTCATTGTAATATTATTTTTGTATATCAAATATGGAGAAATAATCTCAGAAAAGGCTCGTCAACAAAGTGCTTCTGGAATTTATAATATATTTTTGTATATCCGATATTCTCATTCTTGAGGATATTTGTAGAACTATATTTTGGATATTCGCTTCAACAATTTGTGTAAAGAATTGAAAGAACTAGGTGAATTTGCATAGAAGCTAGTGCGGGTAAAAAAATACAAAGTGTTTCCTTTGGTTTACAAGCCTTTTTGGCGTAGGTTAACCAAAGTGTTTGTTTAAACTCTATAATAATAGATAATAATCAAGAGAGTTTGAGGAGATAAATTAATTACCTAGAATGTCACCAACTCGGAATGTTAAAGAATAGGGGGACTAAAAGTTGTGAGACTATTCATATTTTCTGCATTCCGTCGGAACCAAAATTGTCACCCCTATATCTGTGGGACTAAGTTTGATTTTTCCCTAGATCATTGCTCAAAATTTTTAAAATCTTACAATGCTAAGAAAAACAAAGAAAATGGCAATGGACAGAATTGCATGTGTGGTTGTACTTTGTGCTGTGTTTGGTGTACTCGTGCAATTTTCTGCAGCACAAACTGCGCATGTAGTAGGAGATGGTATGGGATGGGATATACCTACTAATACTTCAGTTTCATACGAAAATTGGGTCTCAGGCAGAACATTCGGGAAAAATTCAAAATTAGTCCCACAGATATAGGGGGTTGACAATTTTGGTTCCGACGGAATGCACAAAATATGAATAGTCCCACAGCTTTTAAAAAATGATCAAAAGTAGGACTTTTTCGCCGGATTTACTATTTCCGGCCCGGAACGCCACGTGGCGCACACGTGGCTTATTCTTTACACGTTGGCGCACACATGGCGCACACGTGGCTTAGTTTTGAATTTTTTCCTATCTAGGAAAAAATTCAAAACTAGTCCCACAAGTTTAGAGGAGTGACATTTTTGGTCCCGATGGAATGCAGAAAATTCAAAACTAGTCCCACAACTTGTAGAAAAATATGAACACGTCGGATGCCACGTAGCGTTCCGGGCCGGAAATAGTAAATCCGGCGAAAAAGTCCTACTTTTGATCATTTTTTAAAAGTTGTGGGACTATTCATATTTTCTGCATTCCATTGGGACCAAAATTGTCAACCCCCTATAACTGTGGGACTAGTTTTGAAATTTTCCCCAATGATCTATGAGATGAGGAGTTAGTTGTGATTTTGCAAAATTGTTAATGGAGGAAAATTTATAGTGAATGATTATTGTAAAGGTCTTCATAATGTTGCATTATTAGGGCTGGACTTAACGTCGGTCTGTGTACGGGCCTTGTGGAAATAATGTGGGTCGTAATTAGAAAATTTGTTGGAACCCACAATAGCAGTAAAGGTTGGAAAATTTCAGTCGCGGACTTAAATCAAATGTTTGGCGTGCCTTATGTTATGTGGGGAAAATCGATT